GGAGGGGCCCGGCCCTGTCCCCCAGGGAGGACCCCAAAGGCCACTCCCTTCCAGCTGGTTTGCCGGGGTCAGAGACCCCAGGAAGCGGCACCTAGCAGCGTCCGTGGCTGCAGCGCCCTCCCGAGTGGCCAGGCCCCCGAGGGCTGCGTCTGCCCTGTGCCTGGTGTCCCCGGCCTGCGACCCCTTCCCAGTCAGAGACGCTGTGCCCGGACCCCAGAGGGCGGCCCGTGGGCTTCTCCAGAGCAGGAGCTGGGGTCCCCGGCTCTCACCTATGAGCTTCCCCACACCGAACATCTTCTTCGGGCCCCGCTTCTCACAGTAGAGGATGTAGTGGTCCTTCGTGGACAGCTCCTCCACGTAGATGAGCTTCGCGCCCCCGGCTGCAGACAGAGAGGAAAGTGCTCTTTAGCGCCGTCCTTCCCTGAGGAAACCTTGGAGACCACAATGGGGGACAGTGGGGACGTGTCGGCATCACCCAGGGCACCTGCCAGCCGAGGCCAGGCCCTGCTGTGTCCCCAGGAAGGAACCAACCCAGCTGCGGACCTCAGATGTGGAGGCCAGGGACATGGAGGCTGGAGCCTGGCCCCGCCTGCTTTGGGGTCCTGAGCCCTCAGTTTCCCCTTGGGTCAACAGGGCCACCAGAGGGAGGCGTGGTCTGGTCACCCCCTGCTCTGGGCCAAGCTGTGACAGGAGGGGAACCTCAGGGGCGTGGGCACAGCAGGTAGGACTCACAGGAGCTGTATTTGCCAGGCTCCTCGGTTTTCTGCATCAGAATCTCCTTCTCGTGGCACTGACCCATGATCCTGAAACAGGGGTGCAGGGACAGCTGCTCTTGGGCTACATCTGAGCTGACTCAGCTCACCGGGCATTGGCCCGACAGGGTAACCCAAACCCCAGCCCACCCTGCCCCAGCTGCAGGACGTGGCCGGGACTGTGTCCCCTCAACCTCGGGGGACTTTCATCACCGACATCCAAACTGCTGGCACAGGAGGGGAGCACGAGACCGAGGGTCCCCACGGGCCACACTCACATCAAGGTGACCCTGGCCTGCAGGCTCCCATCTTCGCGGGCCGTCATCGTTGAGGGGAATACCACCTGGAACGTCTTCGGTCCCGGCAGGGTCATGTTGCTCACTAAGGCCTTCGTGTACCAGGTCCCTATGAGCTGGAGCAGCCGAGCGTGAGTCCCGCAAGGCCCAGATCAGAGCCTCTGAGGCATGGGCTGCACCCCGAGAGCCAGCGGAGGTGGCCCTGCTCCAGGACTGGCCCTGGAGGGGTCGTGCTGCCCAGCCCCCCAATCTCTGACTCCTCCAGCCCCCCAGAAACAGCCCCGGTTGCCATCCGCCACCCCTGCCCACCACCCCCACAGGGCCTCACGTTCGGCTCCTCTGGCTGGAGGGACAGGGGGTCCTGGGCCTGCAGAGCGGCCACCAGGCCAAGCAGCACGAGGGTCGGGAGCAGGGTCTTCATCTCCAACGCTGTGCTTGCAGCAGAGCAGGTCCCCTGGAGTCTGGACGAGGCTGCGCCGGCTCCTCTCCGGACGCCCTTTATGTCCCCTGCCACCAGGGCCAGCCTGCACTGGGTGCTGACCACACCCCTCCCTCCTGTCCCTGCAGGCCAAGTCCACATCCATCACGATCCCGGTGGTGCTGTTATTGTTGGGATCGGATGAATAACACCTTAGTGCTGCTGGAGATAAAGACCACGGTGCTGCCCAGGGCCTGCCCCGCCCCAGGCCCTGCCCACACCCAGCCCACCCAGAGGGGCCGGGGCTGTTGGTGCCCGGACAGAGCTCAGGTCTGCACTGCCACCCCAGAGCCTGTCCCGGGTGAGGCTGTCCAGGGCTCCGGGCACTTTGTCCCTCAGCGGTGCCCCCACAGCCACATCTCGCGTCCCCGAGGTGGCACGCTCTCTTTAGGGTGCTTCCCACCGGGGCATCTTGCTCCATTGTCCCTCTCTGTGCCCTCGCCACCTTCCTCAGAACCAGCTGGGCTCCAAGAGCAGGGTGCCAACCCCGAGGTGCAGTTCTTACCGGCCGCAAGAAGCGCTCTGGCTGTGGGTCGGTCCAGAGTGTTGGTCCTGGGAAGGCGCGGCCAGACCTGACCACTGGGCACAGCTGGTCCCCATCTCCCACGGGCGAGCACCTCTGATGCTGGTCATCAGGGCCTCTGGGGACATGTGGAGCCCCCCCACCTGGCACCGCTGGGCTCCCAGACGCTGGTCCCTTCCACCTGACCCAGGCTGGGATTCGGGGCCAGGTGCCACCACAGCTGCCACAAAACCACCCCGTGCCGGTCCCTTAACGTCATCCTGTAGCTCTGACACCCCAAAGCCTTTCCCCTCCCTCATCAGCTTTAGCCCCAGGCCCCCAAGACAGGCCTGAGCCTCACTGCCTGGGTAAACAGGCCAAGGGCACCAGGTGGCCATGGGCCCGCCTGGGTCAGTGTTGGCGGCTGAGCTCCCCAGGTGCCCTTCTCCTAACCACAGCCCCACTGCCACCGAGCAAGACCTCTGCTTCCCCCCACCTGCCAACCCTGGGTCTGAGTCACTGGCCTGAGACCCAGCTGACCCCACTCTGAGTGCAGGTGCTGGGCACTCAGTGGCCCCACTGTGCTCAGCCAAGATGGGCCAGCCCCAGGCACTGTAGAGTCTCATGTCCTGAGGGTGTGCGGCCCAGTGCTGTCCCCAGGGTGGAAGGTACTCTGTGCAGGAAGCTGCTGATCAGGGTGGGCAGGGCCGGGCCTGTGTTCTTCAGGGCCAGGGTCAGCAGGCAGCTGGAGTCGCCGTGTCAGGGGCTTTTCTCTTCTGCTCCTGCTGACTGTACAGATGCCCTGTGCCCTCTGTGGCCCTCACGCGTGGGAACCAGTGATACGTGCACCTGCGACTTCGCGCGTGGAATTCCATCCTTGACAGAGTGCAGGAGCAACATGCAGAGATGAACGACAGCACAGGAAGCCACCACGAGCACTGTACTGGTGCCTGGGAACCTGTGGGCGACCATTGCCCACCTGCCCAGGTCCCAGCAGCTGATTCTACCGAGTTCCCCACCAAGCTCTTCTTGGACACAGGTTGAACCGGGCTGGTGGTAGATGCCATCCGTGACGGACAGGAGGTGGGCAGGAGGTGGGCAGGAGGGCAGGCTCTGAGAAGAGACGCTGTCAGGATACTCTGGGGAGGGGCTGTGTCCCCCCAGTGGGGTCAGAGGGCAGGCAGCATTACGGCCTCCTCTCTGGTGGGGTCCCCATGGGCTGCCCCTACTCACCCCTCACTCACCCCTTCTGGGGACACACTCACCACCCTACATGGTCATATCAACCAATTCAGAGAAGGTGTTGGGCAAAATTCAACACCCATTGAAGTAACAACTCAGCAAAGAAAGAATAAAGGGGAAATTTCTTAACTTGATAAAAAGCATCTACAAAAATCTACAGTAACATTCTGAGTGCTCTCTCCAGTATCAGGGACTAAGGTAGGGTGTCCACTACCACCAATTGTATTTAACATCGCACAGGAAGTTCTGGCCAGCACAGTAAGGGTGGAGAAGGGCAGGGGAGGGGAGGAAAGGGAACAGAAAGGAAGGGAGGAAAAGAAAAATAAATAAGAGAGATACAACCTAGAAAGGAATAAAGCTGTCTCTTTCTGCAGATCACACGATTGTTTATCTAAAAAAACTCAAGGAATTTAAAAACAAAACATAAATGCAACCAATAGGTCAGGGATTTAACTCAGTGACAATGTGCCTGCCTTGCAAGCACAAGGTTGTGAGTTCAATCCCCAGGACCAGAAAAAAAAGTACTATAATGATAAAATAAATTTTTAAAGATGTAAATAAATAGTAATGCTTTATTTATAGAAGACTCAACCTGTAAAGATGCCATTTCCCCCCAAGGATATAGGATTTAGTGGGATCTCCACCAAAATTCCAGAAGGAAATTCGTGTAAATGGACAAGATTATTCTAAAATATACATGAAATGGCAAATGAACTAAAAGAGTTAAAACAAAATTTTAAACATGAAGTGGATGACTCAGCCCACCCAGTGGCAAGAGCACAGCTACAGTAACGAAGACTGCCTGACAGCAGAGGCACAGATTCCTAGATCAACGGACGGATGTAAAACCACAGAACTTAGGAAAATGAAACTACATTAGGGTTTTTAGATATATCATCAAAAGTATGATGCATAAAAGGGAAAAAGTGATTAAATGGTCTTTTTCAAATCTAAAAACTTTTGCTCCACCTTTTAAGAGAATAAAAAGAAAAACTAAGAAATGGGGATAAATATTTATGAACCTGTTATGGCTTGTGTATAGATGTCCCTCCAAAACTTCACGGGGTCATAGGTGGAGCTTTTTGGGAGTAGCTAGATCTGCAGTGTGTGATGCTGGAATTAAGGATGTGATGCTGCTGTTGATTTGGGGTGCAATGCTAGGATTAAGGGTGCCTCTACCGGGGTGTGAGCACTACCTGCTCTAATGGCAGGCAGCCTGGACAGAATACAGTGGACCTTCAGGTTACAACCAGTCTTCATACGACAACTTGGGTTACAGCTAGAGTTTTGGTTTTAACTTATGACCAAAGTATTGAGTTATGACCCAAATGCCAGCCGCTTGTGCTTCCAGATGGTCTTAAATATAGCTCCAACCCTTAAAGAGCTCTAGGAGGAACGTTACAACACCCTTTCCTGTGTAGGATTAGTTGAGAAATCCTGAGCCAGTGTCTCTCTCTAAGGACACTGAGATCTGCCTGTGTGCAGGAGAGAGTCTTTGAGAGGAGCCTGAGCCTTCAGTTGATCAATTTAAATTACAACCAGCCCTCATACATGAACTGAGTTTGTAAGTCAAGGGCTGTCTGAATAAGGACAGAGAGATGCTTTTCACTGCTTATTGCTTATTTGCTACTTCCCTGCTTTGCTGCTTTCTGCCTGCCATGAACTCTTTCTCCTCTGTGATGCTCCTCTGCCAGGCCACCCTGCATTGGAGCCAGCGGACTATGAACTGAAACCCCCACAATATATAAAGAGCTACAATAGACATTTCTTCCTCTAACCTTGGGTGTCAAGTATTTTGTGAACTACAGCAAAACTTCACTCCTTTAACTTTGTGTGTCAGGTATTTTGTCTCAGCAACGAGAAAAGTAAATAAGAGCCAAATACCTGACAGAAGACTAGCTTTTGCACTGCATGAAGAACTATCAAAACTTGACAGGCAAAAAAGAATTAGAAATTTAGCTCAGTGGCAATGTGCCTGCCTCTCAAGTCCTAAATTCAATCCCTGGTTTAAAAAAAAAATTAGAAAATGAGCCAAGACAAAAGGGTCATTTCAGCAAAGAGGAAAATCCCGCAGATGGGAACAGGGCATGAAAAGACAGCGGCAGCGGTTCTCATTAGTGAAATGCACATGAAAACCCCAGGGAGGTGTCACCAAACACCTCCCCAGGTGGCTGAAATAACACCACAGCGGCTAGCCGGGCCTGGGGGACCACGGAGCCGGGTGCTGTGCGCGTGTGTGACGGGAATGAGGCGATGTGCGCCCCCAACAGGGCGTGCAGGGATTGAAAACACTGAGCGAGCAACGGCCACGCAGCTCAGCACTGCACTCTGGCACATTTATCTCCAAAGGTGAAAATGCGTGTTCGTGCGAAAACCACACAAAACCGTTTAGAGCAGCTTTACCTGCAAGCGTGTGAGAGGCGGTTTAGTTATCATCGCACGTGTGATGAGGCGGCTAGCAGGAGCCAGGGCCTGAGAGGGAGCTGGGTGCTCAGCCCCACGGCAGGAGGTAAAATAAGAAGGCAGCGGGGCTCAGACCCGGACAGGGACCCTCAGAGGAACGGGTGCAGCCCCTCGCTGCATCCAGGGCTCAGGTGTGAGGAATTAATGACGCAACATGACTGGCTTTCTTTTCAACTCCCCGTGCTGGGAGACTGGTTTAGAGAGCCTGAGTCCCACTTGGTCATTTTAAAGCCCCGGGTGACCCCTGGACCCTGGGCAGAGCCCACACTCTGCTGGTCCATAAGAGATTCCGAGCGAACAGAAAGCAGCACCCACTTTCTGGGACCCCTCCGCCGCCAGGAGCGTTCTCTCTCCTTGGAGTTCCACTGACACCTCCCCTGCCGCCCGCTTTCTGTCCCCGGTTTCATTCTTCCTATGGTAGGCGGCAGCCCAGCCTGTAGAGCCCCGGCTGTTTCAGTAGCGCCGCACTAGGAGGGCAGGGGCCCTCCGGCAGGTGCATGGCTAGGCGCAGCGGTCCATTCTACCACGGAGCCGCCGGGCAACAAACGGGGAGTAACTTTCACCCACGCAGCCACCCGGACGAATCTCCGGGAAAGATGCATCCCGCCGTCTTGTCTCCCCCCAGTTACGTCTTCCTCGTGAGCTCTGCCGCGACCCTGAACCACCCCTTACGGTTCTCCTTGCACTTGCATTGTTCATTGTTCATCAGACAAACTCTTCCTGTTCAGGGCATTGTGCGGCTCTCTCCTGATGGATCGCTGATTCATATAATTACATATCATTTTCATTAAAGGTCACAGAGCTAAGGGGAAAAGCAAATGGAACAGGTCGGCCGTGGCCGCGGGGACAAGGGGATGTTTGTGCTGTGGATGGCTCGGTGCGGGTCGGCCTCACCAAGGCCGCACTTGAGCAGAGGACTGAAGATGGCGGGGAGATGAGGCGTGAAGGGCCGGCGGGAGAGGCCAGGGAGGGACCTCGGTGCTGGCCTGGGGGACGGGGCCTGGCGTGACGTCTGCCCGGGGGCGGGGAGTGACAGGTGCGGGCGATCGCCCCACCATGGGAGGAGGGAAAGCGGCTCAGGACCTGTGACGGGGCTGTGTGCAGACACTGACCCCAGGGGACCCGGCTGCGACCCCTGAGCGCGGGAGACGAGGTCAGCCGTCCTCACTGCAGCTCGAAGCCGAGGGGAGAGTGGGGCCGGCAGAGAGGGGCCCAGGCAGGGCGGCCTTGCTGGAGCAGAGACCGGGGAGGGACTCGGGCAGCAGCACTGACCAGCACGGGAGCCGGAGCCGCAGGGAGCCATGGCCAGCGCAGAGGAGCAGTGAGGGGCAGCGATGCAGGGGGACCGGACAGGCTGCTCAGCAAGTGGCCCCACCTGGGAGAGTGCGGTGGACCTCAGCCCCCAGGGGCAGAAACTCACTCAGCAGACCCAACCTTGGCACGGGGAACTCTCGGAGGACGGGCACTGTGACAACGGGGTAGGAAGAATCGCCACAGGTTTGCTGCACTGGGGGCTGGTGGGCTAGGGACCCATGGAGTTCCCTGCTCCCCAGGGATGCGGACAGCACTGGGTGAGCTCCACGGGGCATCCTGCTTGCCAGCCAAGTGCTGCAGGACAAAGGAAGGGTCCCTTCTTCCCATGACCCTGCAGTGCCCTCTACTGACAAGACCTAACCCTGCACCAGTTACAAAGGAGAAACGTCCACGGATTCCCCCGCCTGCTTCCATACTGGGGTCAGGCTCTGGTCAGTCCTCAGTCCCCACCACTGGGGGTTCCTCCTATTGTGGCTCCTTCCTCTTTTTTTGGCTTTTTGAGACAGGGTTTCACTGTGTAGCCTAGGTTGACCTTGAACTCAAGGTGATCGTTCTGCCTCAGCCTCCGAAGTGCTGGGATTGCAGGTGTGAGCCATCGCCCGGCTCCTTGCAGCTCATTCTTGCTTTGTATGTCCATCCTCTTAGCCTCAACACCCCTGACACCCACTGTGCTCTACAGTGCCACCACCCTCTCCAAGGAGCTGCCTCTGCACTGACTCCTTACCACAGGTGGTGACTGAACACCGGGAGGGGAGCAGCACCCAGCCTCAGCACTGCTGACTAGTGCTGCCCCAGGTGCGCAGGCTCGCCCTAGCATGGCCACCTAGCAAGCTCTTAAACCAGAACAGAGTGGGGCCAGGCTGCTGAAAGCCCATCAAGAGACAAATGAGCCCGCGGGTGGTGAGGGAGCATGGGTTTGCCCGCAGGACTGGATCTCCAAAACTGGCTCCCCTATGCCCTTGGGTGACTGTGCCGACAGCAGGACGCGTTTCTGGCCCAGCAATCTGTAGCACAGCCACGGCCCAGTCAGCGAGCACAGAGGTGCCATGTGGTTGGAATCAAAACAACACCACGGCACTGGGTTGAAGTAGTGCTGGCAGGGACACAGCCTCCTGGAGCCAGGAAAGTGGCCTGGGACGCACGAGTCTTAGTGCTCAAGCCAGGCCGGGCCAGGCCAAGTGGGTGAGTGGCCCCTCTTCCTGGTCCCCCACCTCCAGCCCAGTGTTGATGCTGATGCCGTTGGTCCTAAACAGAGGGGTCTTCTGGGGGGTGCGTGGCCAGCCTGGCCTCCTTGGGGACCCCGGCACCAAAACGAACACACATCACAGTGGACCCAACAGTCACCTTTCCTAGGGCCAGGACGCTCCAAGTCTCAGGGGCACGGGAGGCAGCAGGGCTGTGTGCCAGGCCCCAGGGTACCAGGACCTCTGGTCATTGTCTCGTGGCTTCTGGGCTGTGGGGACACATACGGCTCTGCGAGTTGGTAGCCATTCCCACTACCCACAGTGAGGGCCTCTGCTAGGCTGACACAGGGCATATTCTCAGGAACAGGGGACTTGGCAGACAGTGCGGATGGGGACAGAGCACCCCTCCCAGTCTGAGGACAGGAGTTCTTCAGGAAGCTCTGCCCTGGCCAACCTGAGCCAGGCCAGCCTCTCGCCAAGGGAGCTCAGAGCATTTGATGACGAAACACTTTAACATCGTGACCAAAGACGAGCCCCTCTCCTAACCCCCTTCTCCCCAAGTACCATCCCAAGGGCCAGGAGGGAGCGGAGCTTGGAACGGTCGTCATGGCCTCAGACCGCTCCGCTCCCCAGCACAGCCACCTGCTGCCCACAGTGTAGCCTGTTAGATCGGCCCTGTGCTCCCTGCTTAGGCCCCTTCCCATCCTGCCCTGTCCGGGAGCCCCCACTCCACACACACAGCTCTCCAGACCCTCGGGGCTTCGGTGCTACCCAGCTGGCCCAGTTTGGCTGCCTGGCAACCTCTGGCTCCAGGGCTGCGCTGAGGCGGTCAGGTCCCTGGAGGGAATGCACTGGCCTGGGCTGCAGCCCCCGCCCCACAGTCACCTCTGAGCTCCACGGCTCCATGGAGGACCTGCAGGCAGAAGCCCCCACACCCGGACCTTGGGCTCAGAGCCCTCCCAGCTGCACCTGTGCCTTCCAGGAGAGGAAAAACGCCTGGGATTTGCCTGGCTCTGTCCACAGCAATCCAGCCTTTCAGCAGGTGCCAGGGGCCAGGTGCTCCCCAGCACAGGGCAGGTCCCAGGGGGCTGTCGATGGCCTGCCCCTGCTGCGGTCCCCAGCCTTGGCATCTGCCACCTGCCACACACCGTCTCCCCAGCTCGGGCACATCCTACTCCAGCTCTCTCACCTAACTCCGACATGGTGAGCACTCTCCACACCGGGTCTTGCCTGCCGCTCACAAAGCCTGTGGGCCTTGCCCTTTGCTCCCAAGGGAAAGCTCCTGGCTCCAGAGAGCTCTGCACACTCAGGCTGCACCTCCTCTGCAGCTCCCACCTGGCCCAGAGGCCCAGATCAGTGACCCCTGTCATTGTCTCCTGGGGCAGTGTCCTCTCCGGGCTCCGCTCCGCTCCTAACCAGCCTGGTTCCACCTCTCGGTGCCCCAGCTGGTGCCAGTGGAAGACAGGGTCTTCCCCCCCGGACCCCCCAAGGATGGCAGCAGGCAGAGTGGGGCAAGGAGAACACATCTGGTTGGGGCCTCACTGCAGCTGGAGAAGCTAAATTATCACTGGACGAGCTGTTCTGACCTGGAGGTGATGGAAGTGAGACCAAGCCAAGGACGGTGAGCTCACGCACAGAAGAGACTTGGGCTGAGGCCTCAGCACCGATAGGGAAAGGGGGATCAGGCCACTCCTAGAATAAGGGGACCAGTTAGCTTTTATGGCTTTGCCAGGTTGGGCCAAAGTCCAGTATGTATCCACTGGCCAGGGGCATAGTTCTAAGAGATTTCTTTTTGTTTGTGTGAGACTTGGACCCCCGGTGGTCAGTCTACCTGTCCTAGAGGCTGTAGACTTTTGGTGTAGCTAGTGCTGCCATTCTGTACACAACATCCCCGCCTTGGTTTGTTCTGGGCCTAGGATGGGGCTAAAGGACCTAAGGTGCTCAGGCTGCTGCAGCTGCTGAAGAAGCACAAGTGGGAGGGAGAAGAAAGAAAACACAGGTCAGGCAGTTGACACATCTTCCACAGAATGATCCCAAGATTAAGGCAGCAAAATGAAGAGGCACGGTTTAAAGGCAGACATGCCAAGCTTTTGTCACGTTCAAGTCACCCAACAGACATCTGCAGGCCCAAGGGAGGTCAGTGGTCGGCAAAGGTGACCTTCAGATACCTGAGAAGTAACCCAGGCAACTGTTAGCATAACCCACACGTCAGAAGTGCCATCTGCTGCAAAGCTAGTGGGAAATGAACGATAGATTACCCAGCCGTGTGAGCTCCGAAATTAGTGATCATTAAGTCCACCGAGAACAAGGGAAGGTAAAGGTTTATGTATTCGGACCTCTCGGTAAAATGTCATCATTTTGAGCAAACATTGTGCTTCTGAGGTTTTATCAGGATGTCACGACTAGTCTGCTGAAAAGAGCCCAAGGTTAGAGAAGCCGTATGCTATGCCACAAAGGGTACTAAAGTTTATGGCACCCAGGGGCTCGTTTTGTTGTCCAGGTTTTGTACCACCATGGTGGTCCCTAACCGTCTCAAAATGAGAAATCTACTGCATAGCTCCTACCTCACACCCTACATAAAGCCCACTCAAGGATGATCAATGACTCAAACAAAGGAGCAAAACTAGAAAACATGGGGATTTTTTTTGACCTTGGATTTGGTGATGGATTCTTAGATTTGACCCCCAAAGCACAAGCCACGAAAGAAAAACAGAAAAATTGGGGCATCATCAGCTTCTATGCATCAAAGGATACTACCAAGAAAATGAAAAAAAAACCCACAGAACAGAAAAATATTTGCAAACTATATTTCCAACAGGCGTCCAATATCCACAAAGTGTAAATTCTTACAACTCATTTTGTATACAAGGAGGGGAAGAGGGGTTGGGGGATGGGAAAAAAAGAAGCAGCAAGATATATCATGTACAGGTACAAATTCCCTGTGATCAATGTGGTCATTATATATCTATAAGGTACCAATAAATGTCTTGCCTCAAAAAATTCTTACTGCTTGGCAAAAATAAGTAAATAAAATTGGACCAAAGGCTTGAATAGATAACTCTCCAGGGAAGATATACAAATGGCCAGTGAGTAGGTAGAAAGTTTTTTAGCTTTCATTCTTATTCGTCCACATGTGCAGTACATGATGTTTACACTCCCTGTATGGAGTTTGTATGTGCACGTGACACATCTTAATTCCTTTTCACATCTTCTCCTCTCTCTCCCCCTCCCTCGATCTCTTGGTCCCTTTCCCACTTGAAAAAGATCTATCTCCCTACTTCCTATTACCTGTCTTTTATTTTGCTATTTATTTATATTTGGGGATTTTTTTCTAAGTTTAATTCCTGGGTTGATGCTTGTAAATTGCTTATGGCGAGTAGCTTTATTGCTAGAATTCATAACCCTTAGGAAATGACTGCTTCTCAGAGGTATCTTCCAGGTGTAGCTGGCTTTTGGGGCTTCAGTCTTTTGCAAGATCCTACCTCTTCGATCTGTTGGGAACGAGAAGGTGCTGCCTATTTGGCCGAGCCCCTGGTCCTTTGGCACTGGTCTATAGTATTGTCTGTGACCCTTAGGCAATCTCGGTCTTGTCATACCAGGAAGAACAACTGATTAGAACAATTATGTCACCTTGGCTAAAGTAGTACAATCAGCAATAACAACAGCGTCAAACATAGCCTAGAAAATGACAAGCTGAGGTAACTATAAATTTTCCACCTTTAGCTGGTGCGGTAGCACAGCTGTAATCCCAGAATGTGAGAGGCTGAGGCAGGAGGATCATCATGAGTTACAGGCCAGCCTAGACTAATATGGTGAGTTCAAGGCCAGCCTGAACTACATAGGGAGACTCTGTCTCAAAAAACCAACAAAACAAAAACTGCCACCTTTTCAACTGCCTGAACTAGATTTGTGGTTATATAACAAAATTGAAAACAAACTAGAAAATTGAATACTGTAAATATGCCTTCAGTATGGTGATTTTACCCTCAGGAGAAAATTTAAAAGGGGTTGAGGGGGGACAGAGAAATAGAAGAAAAGGAAGAGATTAGAAGCAAGGTTGGAGGACAAAGGAATATTATGCAAACTTTGGGAAATTGGTGAAGAAGACAAGAGGGAAAGAAAAAGAAATAAAAATAAGAATAGAACAACAACAAAAAACTAGAAAAATATTCACACATATAAAAATAAGAGCAATCAAGAAATAAGAAAAGAAAAACAAAGACAAGAAAAGGAAAAGAAAATAAGAAAAAAAGTCCACTTCAAGGTGTGTCTTTGCTGTCACTGGTAGGTAAAGTGGGCACACAGAGCTCAGATCCTTGTTGATTACTCCCAACAAGCCAGCCATAGATTCACAGGGTAGTGGGTAATCCTAGCAAGCCTGCACCTTTAGTTCTAGGGCTCAAGTTGGTTTCTGGCTGTGAGTCTGGAACCCAGTTTGTTTAGCCTGCAACACTCCATGTGCTTCCTGCCAGGTTGAACTTGGCTCCTGGACCTCCTGCCTACTTGAAATTGGTTCTGCCTCAGCCTGATGGATCCAGCCTGTAGCTGCTCTGAATTCTGAGCTCAGTTGGGCCCTCTCCAGGAAGGCTACTGACCAGTCATCCTCTCCTGAGGGATGTCTGAACCTGAATAACTGCAGTCTGTTGCATCCATCGTTCTGTTGCCTCTGGGGTTGCCTGTAGTCACTGTGGGCCTGCAGGTGTAAGCTGCTTCCCGCTCAGTGAGTTAAGGCTCAGGGAGAAAGGGCTGCTTCCTACCTCATTCTTCTTCATTGAAGTCTCTCTCTTTGCACTCCCTGGGTGCAAACTCTTGGTTCAGATCCTTGCTGGGCCCCAGGGACACAGTTGCCTCCTTCCTCTCTTCCTCACATTGCTATATTCCAGTGTTTGGGCACCAAATCTCAGAAGGCTACTTCTCTGCTGTTCACCACCCCACCATTTTCCCTCAAGTATCTACACTGGAATTTTATTTATTTATTTATGTATTTGTTTGTTTGTTTGTTTGCTAAGGGGGATCGAACTTGGGACCTTGTGCTTTAGAGGCAGGCAGCAGCACCACTGAGCTAAATCCCTGGCCCTCCATATTGGATTTTGAAGACTCCAATAAGTATGTTAAAAAAATTTTATTATACCAGAAGCTCAGTGGTGCTGCAGCCTGCCTTGCAAGTACAAGGTCCCGAGTTCAATCCCCAGTACAAAAAAAATTTTTTTGTTAATAATTGCAGCTATTAAATCTATATTGAGATAATAGTTATTTTGGATACATCTGATTGAATAGAATACATCAACAATAAAAAAAGTTTGGGGGGGTACCAGGGATCAAACTCGGGTACTTGTGTTTGTGTGGCAGGTGCTGGAATCACTAAGCTAAATCCCTGGTCCCAAAAATTTTTTTGAGATGGTCTCATTGTGTAGTTCAGGCTGGCTTTGGACTGTGTAACCCAGGCTGGCCTTAAACTCGTGGTGATCCTCCTGCCTCAGCATCCCAAGTGCTGGAATCACAGGTGTGTGCTAACTGGCAATCAACCTGGCTTTCTTAAGAGAATTCATGTGAATTTAAGTTTATGTGTCCAATATATTTTACTTAACATTATGGTATCAAGGTGCATCCACTGTCCTACAAATGACTCAGGTTTATCCTTCTTTAAGTTTATCCTTTTTCCCAGCAGCCTCATCAACATCTATTTGACTTCTTGATGATGGCCATTCTTTCTGGGGTGAGATAGAAGCTCAGTGTTGTCTTAATTTACATTTCTCTATAGCCAGCAATGTTGATAATTTTTTCTTGTATTTGTTAGCCATTTGTACTTCTTCTGGGAAGTGTTTATTCATTTCAACTGTCCACTTTTTGATTGGGTCTTTTATTTTGGGGGTCTAATTTTTTAAGTTCTTTGTATAATCTAGATATTAGTCAGTCTGAGGAATAGATGGCAAAACTTTTCCCATTCTGTAGGCTGTCTCTCTCTCTTTTTAAAGAAACCAAATTTATTATTAATTTACAAAGGGGAGTCACTCTCCATAATTCACACTGACATATTTGCAGAGAAATTATACCCATAATTTTATGAAAATCTTGGGTTTTTCTGGATACTGGGAATCAAACTCAGGACCTTATGCTTGCCAGGCAGGTATGGGCCATTGAGCTAAATTCCTGGCCCTAAAATACTACTTCGGCAAGGAAAATTTAGTTCTTCAAAGCTGCAAATTTTCTAATCCTCCACTAGGACCTGGGTTTTGTTAGCTATCAAAGTCTAAGATTTATATACC